TACGAGGCATGTCTCGCGATCCGTGCGTGATTTGTAGAGCGAAAAAAAATTCCAAAGTTGGTCACGCAGGGCTTGTGAGACCCGTCGCGAGCGTCGCGGCTGGGGTAATGCAACTGTTGCGTGAACCGTCTGAAGAGAGTTAAACAAAAACTTTTTAAAAAGGAAAAAAAGAGAGAGAGCGAGAGAGATTAACCGGAAGAAATAACTTCGTACTTGTTTTCTTTAATATGAAGCTCAATATCATCTGCTAGGTCAGAACAGTATTCCTCTATGTCTTTCGAGTCGTTCATCACCATCTGATGCCTGGTGGTTCTGTTGTAAATAATTATCTTGTAGTCGTCAGGACGGTCTTTACCGGCAGGGTAATGTTCCTTCAGCAACCTCTGTTTCTCCTAGAGACAAAAATTTTAAGATCTGTTTGAAAGACAGCACAATTCATGTTCATTTTGACGTACAATGTGCTACTTAACTACCTATCACATTTCAGATCAAGTAAATTCGCAATGAACACTTTTCCTTGTGCAAGTAAATTTCACTACCCTAAAATTATGAAGTTCTGTCTGCACAGAACCCAGTTTTGAGAAAATCTGAGTTTCACAACAAAGTCAAGCTTTTTCGAATGCAATTCTTGGAAGGCAATTTCCTGAAAATGACTTCAAATAATCTTAGGATTTTAATAGAACAGATAGAACATTTGGTTTCTGACCTCATGGTCTTAGTAACTCAAAACGGCCAAAAATGTCAAAGTCAAATAAAGCTTTGTAACTATAAAGAAGCAATTTGTTAACTTTCAGGTTATAATGTGAATGCTAGAGTACACCATTGAAGGGTGGCACCTGGGGGAGTATCTGTGACATTCCTCTCAGACTCAATGTAATAATAATAATAATAATATATAACATTTATAGAGCGCATTTCCAAAAAAAGTAGCTCAATGCGCTTTACATTGGAATACCCATTTTTCAAAAACCTTTCTTACTACTTCCTTTCTTCTCACGCAATATACATTAATGCACACACACACACACACATACACACACACACACACACACACACACACACACACACACACACACACACACACAGAGACTATTTTCATCCAGACATAGGAAAAGAACAAATATAATGAAAGCTAACGTTAAAAGCTTATGAAGGATAGGCCTGTAGGAACAGAAAATGTTTAAGATGTCTTTTGAAGCTATCAAGTGTTCTTATTTGTCTTAGTTTCATGGGTAATCTGTTCCACATAAATGGACCAAGATATGAGAAAGATCTCTCTCCATATGATTTGTATGATTTTACAGGTGTCACAAGTAGGGTGTTATCGTTCGATGATCTTAGGTTTCTCCCTGGTTTATATATACTGATAAGTTCTTGCAGATAAAAAGGAGCAGTTTTATTTACACATTTGAAACACATGACGCAGATTTTAAATATTATTCGTTCTTTTACAGGGAGCCAATGCAGTTCTTTTAATAATGGAGTGACATGGTCTCGTTTTTTAGATCTTGTTATCAGTCTAGCGGCATTGTTTTGAATTACTTGTAAACGATTCAAATATTTGTTGTTCAGACCTGCCAGGAGTGAGTTACAATAGTCTAATCTAGATAGGATAAGAGATGTTACCAGTGTTTTTGTGGTCTCTTCGCTTAAGTACTTTCGAACTAGGCCTATCCTTCTCAGCTGAAAATAAAGGGATTTGGACAGAGATCCTACAAACGAGCCCATTGATAAGTGGTGGTCAATATATACACCGAGATTCCTGACAACTTCTTTACTAGATGTCATATGCCCATATAAATCAAAGTTGACACTTTCCAGATCTTTATTTAATCGTGGATTTTTTATAAGAATGATGTCTGTCTTTTCTTCGTTTAGTTTCAATTTGTTTACTGTCATCCACTTTTTGATTTCATAAAAACATTGTTTAGTGATGGAAATCATGTTTGGTAGATCTTGAATGGTGCCATTAACATACATTTGGGAATCATCGGCATAAAAATGATAATTCAATCCATGATTTTGTAAAATGCTTGCTAAGGGCTGTGTATATAGTGTAAAGAGCACTGGTCCAAGAACGGACCCCTGTGGAACTCCATAATCGAGCCTGACCTGCTTTGAAAAGCTATTTTTAATTTGCACTGACTGAACTCTTTCTAGTAAATATGACTTAAACCATGTACAGTTTATCAGTTTGTAATCTCTCAATCCTTTTCATTGTTTGTCTGTATGGACCAGGTTCACATATTGCATTTTTCAGTTTCAGTATGCCACTTTTAATTCTTCTTGATCTAATTCTTGTTTCGTTTGAGAAATGCTTGTCCTCTACAGATGTATTGGTCATCATCAGACACTGATGGACGATTATCATTATCTTTTAACACTACAGTATAACACGGATAGGTCGAACACAGTAGACTCGAAATCGCACATCCATCAAACTGTATCTGCGGTCCCTGGTTTTTTTTTGTTCCCTGTCTTTGTAAGATATCTCTCGAGCTACGGATCCCTCGAACTTCCGAAGCTGGTCCCGACTTCGAGCTATCCATGTCATACTGCATAATTATTTTCAGGGCCCAACTAAAAGTTTGTTGAAAGTGTGAGAAAGAGCAGTGCAAACAACAGACTCACTCTCCCGCCTAGGTACAACGTATCTAATGGCAAAATTAATGTCCAGAGTAGAACATCGTATAATTACGTGGTGAACTGTGACACTCGGGTCTGAGCGCAGCTGGATGTCGTCCTTGAACTTTAAGTCAGGGAGGACGAGCTTACAGCCATGGGAATACACTTCACCTTCTGAAATCAAATAAAAACAGCAAACTCATCTCCACAGAAATCACAGGAAAATTTATCTTGAAGTTTAAAACAGTGGGAACTGCCCCTCATTTCTATAATAAGAATATTAATTATGTGTACACATATCTGTGTAGTCCCTCTGCCTTGTATGAAATAAGGCCTTGACAACATGGGTATAAACTATTACATTTATAGTCAGTGAAAGGAAAAAGACGTGCTTTATTATACAGCTTAGCTGACTTTTTACAAACACAACAATTCTGTAATGTGTAGAGTGTGTATATATATTCATCTTGCCTCAACTTACCATAGGCACCTGCCATGTCTTTCTTAGAGTTGTAAATTCTGAAAGTAAATTTGATAGTAAAGTTTTAGCATAAAAGAAAACACAAACATAGTAAACAATCCTTAAACCCTTTGCCAAACTGCCCAGTAAAATTACTTTCGAGCATACTTGGCACCCACAGCTCTGCATTCTCAAATATTCTGCTATGAGCTCTCGAATTAACATCACACCTTGATAATTCCTAATACTGAAACAATGTCCATATAAATTTTCCTTAATTGAACACTCATTTAAATATATATATATATATATATATATATATATACAAGTCATAGAAAAAAATATTGCTTTGAGTACCTGTTGCAGATTATATCCAGAATTCAGTTGAAAATTTAAAGTTGAATGGTGTCATGTGAAATGAGATTTCTTGATTATTAACTCATTACTTACAGGTAAGTGTTTTACGACGCTAGCAAATGCATAAGGTCGTATGAGCGCGCAGGACACATTAAACATTTTCATTTGTTAGAAAATTTTTGATTTTGCCCGGGTGGCGGCCAAAGCCTACTCTTATCGATCTTGGACCAAGGGATCTTTAACAAGCGCAACTTACACACGGGACCTCCGAAATTTTCCGCCCTTATCCAAGAAGGCTAGGTGTAGATTTTACCTATCATAGGATCAGGGACCTATTGAATAAGAGGTGAATACCTTAACCTCTAGACCACGGGAGCCCATAATTATTAGCTTAAACATAAGTCTCCATGGTACGATTTGAAAACAGTTGTTACGGTTTTAGATTTATTTAAAAAAACCTTCTCTTTCAAAAGTCAGACACGCCAACTTCATGAACAGTTGACTATTTATTTAACACACACATAGAAATACAAAATCTGTTAATGTGCAAAGAATAAGTGGGCTGCAAACTCAAAGTCAAAGTTCTCTGAAATGTCATGTTTTCAATGCCAGGAGCATGTCATGCTCAAATTTGCCCAAAACATTAAGAAAAATGAATCAAGTCTCCAGAATCTTTTTTCTTTCCTTCAAATTTCAGACGTTCAGGGTAAAATTTTATGGGATTTTTAAAAATGAATTTATTTTGATGTACTTTGCGTTCAGAAAATGAAACTTGATTTGAAATATCAAGCAGCTTTATAGCTCTACAACCTTGCTGCTCATTTCCAATGTTTGATCCAAACATTTTCAGTGGAGAATAAAGATGTCTGTAAAATTCAAAATTGGAAAAGATTTGACAAGAAATAAAGTTTACCTGAAACCGAAGTGAACCACAAGTGATGGAGACCATAAGTCTTTCATAAAAGCCTTTTTTTTTCATCATAACTTTCTTTATGCACCCTTACTAACAAGAATTCCGAACAGTCATATTCAGTACCCCAAAAAGTGCACTAAGTATTCTCCCATAATTTGAAACGGATTTGAGAGTCAGAAACAGATCTACTACGACCGCAAGATAAAGTACTGAATAAAGGAGCACATATTGAACCCCCCCCCCCCCCCCTGAAAAAAAAACAACAAAATAATAAAACAAAACAAAACAACATGTTTCCTACATATTCCTGTGTGGCGACCAACAGCAAAAGAAAAAAAAAATGCAGGATTCCTCTTAATAAAATCCTTGTGTGTTGATTACGTAATGTACAGTTTAATTTTTTTCCCCCCACAGTAACTTCAATAAATTGCATAAAGAAAACTATAAAAAATAAATGTTCAAAGAATTCACAAAAACAGACGTTTATACAATGAGCAATCCTAGTTAGTGTTGTCCTCACTTTCCTCAGTTCCTGATTTAGTTAAGAAAAAACTGCTCAAAACTATGGCACCAGGATATGTATAGATTTGTATACATACCTCAGCAACAATCGTCTAAAGCGAAGACAAAGCGGATCAAAGAATGAGAATGGTTAATGTTTGCCAGTGAACCCTCAGCATGAGCAGTCTAATGAAGTCCTGCATGACGATAATTCATTAGGACATACAGTAAAATTTCAGTATCACATACTTGCTTCAGACCCAAGATTCTGAACATCTTTTAGCTGAGGTACATGTGTTGAATTAGCCAATATACAGAGTAAAAATACTTAACTGGGAATGAAGAGTTCAGAAAATAAACATAACACCTCATAATACATTTAAAGCTGTGTGTGATGTTATATATAAGTTATATGGAGGTTTAACTGTTAATTACCATAATTACCCCTCAATCTAATTTACGTCATGTCACAGACTAAAAATCGTCACTTTTGTACTTAAAAAACTCTTTTCAGTCATTTTAATTAGTTCTAGCAAATTGTGATACGGTTGGTAAATTAAATATATATATTAAATAAAGTTTATAATTTTGAAGATATTAGCAGACCTGATTTATGTGTCAAGACTGTAGACCCCTATTTCTTAAATTTCTAAAACTCAGAGTCAGAGTATGGCAAGTGTGTGTGCATATGTGTTTGTAAGTGTGTGTGCGTGTGTGTGTGTGTGTGAGTGTGTGTGTGTGTATGTGTGTGTGTGTGTGGTGCGTGTCGTGTTTCTTGTGTGTGTATATGAGTGAATGCATGTCTGTGTATGTATGTATATTAGTGAGTGTGTGTATGTATGTTTATTGTTAGTGTATGTGTGTGTGTATGTTTGTGTGTCAAGTGTGTGTGTATGTGTGTGTGTGTGTATGTGTGTGTGTGTGTACATGTGTGTGTTCATGTTAGTGTGAGTGTAGGTGTTGTGATGGTGTGTGTCTTAAAATACAAATAAAAAATGGAGGGGGACAGAACTCACAGAGAAACATTGAACTTGAATACATCGAGATACAGCTGAATACCATAACGAAAATCTCGATGAAAAGGAAACCTGTCATAACGGAAACTCCCCGCCCCCCCTTGATAACTCCCTTTATAAATACATTTTTAAAACGAAAACCTGCTCAACTTGGAAACGAAAAAGAAATTCCTTCCCCATCAAAGTTTTTTACCTGTCCGAGATATAATAAAAATGCTTTGTCCACTCAGCCCAAATCATTTAAAGCAAAAATCCCCCTAGTTTGGTTACATCGGGTCTAACAGGCTAACTTTACACTCTATATGCCGCCAGGAACTTAGAGGAAAGGTGGAGAGAGGGTGTCACTTGGGAGTAGATGTTACCTCATCCGTGTGAGTGTGTGAGCCCTGAGCCGCGTATATGGTCACCCGAGTACAACTACCCTGTATCCCACAAAAACAAAATTTTACAGGAGAAGGAAGAAATTATGTCAATTCATCTTACAATTTTTTGTCAAAAATTAAAGTCGGAATGTTGCACTGGCAATGTTTATTATGCTACATGTCTAAAAATTTAAGGGGGCTCTTGTGGCGAAGAGGTTAAGGTGTTCGTCTCTCATTCAAAGGTCCCGGGTTTGAATCCAGGTAGCGACGAACAAATTTTGTTCTCTAAAATTGTCTACTTTCACCTCCTTTCCTGCTCTCCAGCAAGCAATGTTCTGTCGTCTGCTTTCGGCTCCTTTCTGTCCCCTCCCTTTGACCTCCTTTGCCCCCTCCTCTGGGCTCCTGACTCTTTCAGCAGTCTTTCTACTGCTACACCTTGGCACCTTCTAAAGGTCTAGATCTAGCGGGTAACGTTTTTGGTCAATTTTCGATGAAATTATTGATTTTCTGGAACGTAGCTTTTTAACACCTTTGATCATTGCTGAATCAAATTTTCTGGTCCATTTGGTAAAAAAAATTGATAAAATAGGTGAAAATACGTCTCAAGTGACCTCATCCCCCTTGCAAAAGGACTGCTTGGTCACATTTCCTCTCTTTTTTAGTTACATTTTGTGCCTACTTGGTTCACTAAACTTCTACAAATGAGCTTATTTGTTACTGTATGTAAATGAGATTTTATATGTGATAAGAAATAATAGTTGTGGTTGGTTTATTTTGGGCGAAAGTAATCGCGTACCCATTTGACATTGAAGAAGAGAGCAACGGTAGGCAAAGGTGTGAGCCACGTACTGTCGATCACCTCATGAACGTGAGTGGCAGTCGAGGGGCAAGAGCATTGTCATTCGTCAGTGCAAGTTGGTCAGCATATGGAGCTAGATAGGGACAGTAGAGTAAGCTGTCGCTCGATATGTGAATTTGTGAATTTGTGACTTCTCGATGCACATCCTGCAGTTGGTGATTTCTACAAGAGGTGGGTGTTTATATTTAAACTACAATAGAGCATATGGTACTGGAACCTCTAGAAGGAACAAACCCTCAAATTACACAGTGACATTTTAAATGCGTTTTTCTCAAAACTTTATTTTTGAAAGACCCTTCATCACTAAAATCTTAAAGTCTGATCAAGTTACTATTAATCAAGATTATAATGTACTTAAACTTTCCAAGTATGTGCAGATTTGGTAGTTACAGGTACCTGGTTAGTTATAGTTGAGAATAAATACAGTCGAACCTACCTTAACGGAAACCTGTATAAAACGGAAACCTATCTTAATGGAATCTCCCCGCTCCCCCCTTGATATTTTCCTGTTCAATTACCTGTATAAAACGGAAACCTGTCCAACGCGGAAACGGAAAGAAAAATCTGCTCCCTTCCGAGGGTTTCACCGTTCTAAGATGGAAAACGCTTTGATCGCTCAGGCCTGATTTGAAACAAAATTCGCGAGTTTGGTTCCATCGGCTCTAAACTTAACGCCATGGCCATACCGCTAGGCAAGGAAGGGGAGTAGGGTTGCAATTTGGGGGTAGATGTTACCCCATCATGTGAGCCTTAAGCGATACAGATGGTCAGGAAGGTGTGGGTGTGAAATCTAACGACTGCCCGTGAGAGTGCTTGAGTAGCGAGCCACTACGGAAACTTTCCTGGGTAGCCAGAAGCCAGAGGTGTGAAATTAGTTTGACCAATGCCAGACGCCCTGATTGTACAGCCAGCCGAGAAAAGAGTTCCTCAAATCGTTGTTACATGATGGCAGTGAGGGGTGGCATTGGTTGACAGTGTTTGTTACTCCGGTGGGTGGGGCTAAGGGTGGAAGCAAAGGAGATGTTCAAACATTTCTGTTTTTAATAGGTCA